GATTTCTTTAATTTTTTGGTCCGAAGAATAGGTTTATTATATAAAGAAGATTTCCCGTTGAGGAGAGTTTAAATGTAAACTCAGAAAGAGGTATTTTTTCGTTTGTTTAATTACCTACTTTGAAACACTGATAATTAATAGCAGATTTATTATCGAAATTAATAAAAATTAATAATTTATCTCTTGTTTGACCAAACAATCCGAATATTTTTCGTGACCCCCACTTTGAGAATCACTGATCTAAAACAATATCTCATGAAAACAAAAGAAAAGAAAATTTTGTAAAGAAAAATAATGCCATATTTTCATTTATTTCAATATGTGTTTTAACCCCTTTCGTTTCTTAAAATTATTAGGACCTGTGGTACATACACGTATAAATAAGGGTCGTAAGCCCTTCTATATTTGTTTTTATGATGCTACAAGTCGTATTATTCATGGCCTCAATTTATTTAAACTGTAAGATTAGGCTTGACGGTCGCGGGAAGGTTATATTATATATTATGTAGATAAATGTGTATTATTTTTATCGATTGCTGCTCAAAGAAAGAATAGCTTTTATTACGAAATCAGTCATGTGTTTTCAGTTGTAATAGACGGGTGTGTTTTTTGAACTCTGAAATATTTATTGAGTGCATTTTTGCATGGATCGTCAATTTAGGGTGAGTCATCATTGCGTAATTTTTGCATGTTATAATTTTTTTCAGGAACAAATTAAAATGCACCATTAAGTTCTATTAATTATTATTATAGTGTATAGCCTTTATCTAATATTTTATTTTTGCAAACGTGGTAAATAAATGTGTTCAGTAGTTAGGGAAGATACTAATTTTGATAATTGTTTTAGAAGGGGTTTTTATCTATCTCCATTGCAACACTAATCGACTGCTATGTTTTCTCTAATTAGAAACAAGTTTAACAAATAATTCTTTTACAAATAAGCAAAGGTATACCGCATAATAATTTTGAAATATTATTTATTTAATCGTACACCCTGATATGAATGGCTAAGAAAGGTTTGTTTAGTTTTCATTTTTCGTATATGCATTGAATTTGTGTAAAGCTTTGTTCGATTTTGGACCTAATAAAAAAATAAATAACGTAACCTAACCTAATAAAAAAGAGAAAAACATCACTGATTTGAATTCTATCAGTCACATTTGAGTTATTCTTGCTAGCAAAATAAATTCGGCAAGTTATTTGTAAAACTGACTTGAAATTCAATAAAATTCTATTCTCAGTCTAAAATAAAGAAGAATTATATTCAAAGAACTGTAGAAAATTGGATTTTGATGGGAAATTATTAACAGAAATACAAATTTACATTAAAATTAATACTTTTAAGAGATAATGTAATTAAATTGAATGTAGTACCTACTCAAATTTTTTACTCTGAGAGTATAAACATATTTTGTACATTTCTTCAAGTACCTACACCACATGTCTGGTAACAAAATAGCATTGTAAGAATAGTATAATACTTTTAAATATTATGCATTTATTGCAAACATTTCAATGTCTTTTATAGATTAAGTTGTAAGTATGCACTGAATGCACTGAAGAAAGAACCTTAGTTAAACAAAAATAAGTTGCTTCTTGTATGTGTTCTCCATATGAAACACAACGAAATATTTATAGAAAATCCATTATTTTAAAGAAAATGATGTATGGGTCGTTTAAAATGACATGAGCCTTCAGATGGTGGACCTGATTGCATTCATAGTGTGCATTTGAAAAACATTGACTCGGCTGTTATTCCATTGATTCTAACAAACCTAGACACACTAGGGATGAAGTTTCAGATAAATTGTAAAAGGTGACGGTTATGGTTTATAGCAATCCAAGGTCAAGGTCTGTACCATATTGAATCATCTCTACCAGTCTAATTCAGTGTGCTATAAAATATTACTGCATTGTAGTTTTTCCGATCAATGCTATTTTGCTATCACGCTGATAAAGACTAATGTATCTACAGAAAATGTATATTTTTTCAAAATAATCCTTCAGTATGGGACGGAAATTGGTCCTTGTTGTTATTCGTCCTTTATTAGAACGGTACACTGCGAAAGTAATAGTAACACAAAACACAACAATCTGCCAAGGAAGTAATGTTAAGTCTGGTATGTGACATTTCAACCATGTGGTTTTTACAACCATCAAAGTACACAGTCGAATGTAAATGTCTCTGTAATTATAAACATCAAATCTTTCAACTTTATTGCATGGTTTTCTAGCACTAAGCTGGTGTTCTAAACAAACAACTTGTAGGTGCCAAAAATGAATGAATTATTTGTCAAATCAAATGATGATACCATACATTCCAACAGATTATTTATAGTGATAAACATGAATAGCCAATGTGAACTTTTCCACAAAGTTCAAATTATATTACCTATGCATGTGTATATGAGTACATCGAAGATATTACGCAACGGTATTTACTTTTGTGTATTGAAATTCTATTTTTCATGTAAACGTAATCCACTAGAATTACTTACATGCGTGAATACTGAAAGTAAAAACAAAAACAATTTCAAATTTCTAACGAGAATTTTCTAGGTTATCGAGCTGTGGTCTAATGGAATTTTAAAATCATCCAGACGTTTCGTCCAAATCAACATTGGACAGTTTCAATGGAGACAATAATGATTTTCGTGAAGAGTTCGGTAGTGTCAATGTAGATTCTGACAAAACGTCTGGAATGGACTCATCAGCCCGGAAAATTCTCATCAAAGAGACTGGTGTGAAAACTTATACTCTTACATCAATTTTATAACTTTTATTAAAACATAAAGTTATTTTGTTACATTTCCTATACTATTAACATCTCCTAAATACCGTGGCATGCAATCCCCTTGCCAGTCCCACCATAAAATCTCCCTCAGTCCCACTACATATCTTGACTTCTTTTTTTTATACATTCTCTCCCATCTTCTAAGTACCGTGGTATCCAGTCCCCTTGCCAATCCCTCCACAAAATCTCCCTCAGCCTCACTACATATTTTGACTCCTTTTTTTCATAGATTCTCTCCCCTTCCTTCCCCGTTCCTCTTCAGTTCCCCTATTTTTATCCTTTTTGTCGACCACTCCCTCACCTATTCCTGATTGATTTTAAATCTCTTTTCGTCCCTATTTCCTGTCTTCCCCCATATTTCCTTTCCAATATTCCAACCTCCCAACCTTTCACATTTTACTATCCCTTTTATCGCTTCTTCTCATATCATCCCACAATTAGTCTTACTTTCTTATTATATAATTTGGCGTACTTTTCTCTAATTTTCCATATTTCTACCCCATCAAACACAAATAACATCAGTTTCCTACCCCAATCGAACTTATTATGACATTTCTAACAATACATTTCCCTTCCTTTTGCCATTTGATCGGTAATGTTCATCTTATCCCTATTTTTATCACTCAGCATTTATCCCAAACTTCCTCATTTTTTTTTGTCTCCCCTCCCTTCCATACTACTTTTATCTCCACTCCCTTCTATACTATTTTGCTTTTTCCTTTCATCTTCTTCATCTGGTATTCCCAAATTCCATAACCTTTGAATTTATACTATTCAACTCCAACCCTTTCTTTACTAAATACATCAGTTTTATATTTTTCGTTAAAAAAAGTTGACTTATCAATATATCAACATTAATAAGTTCCGATACAATCAAGATTTTCAAAAGATCTAATCTACATAACAAGATTACAATTATGGTCACTGACTTTCTATTTTTTTCAACGAAAAATTTTGATTTGCTTTCTTTACTTTGCAAGAAATAAAAAGTTCATTGTCTTTTGAGATATTTCAGTGGATATTTCTTTTCTACCTGAAGGTCCACCGTGGACTTATTATTTATAAACAGTCGACCGTCCTGCTTACCGAAACTCTTGCAATAACTTATTCAGCATTCCCATTTATTTAAATAACACAACAACGGACAAATAAATGGTTCACATAAATCTACCAGCAAGCATTTTAGTCCTGCCCAAACTCAAATCGTATACGTATGCAGATTAGAATAAAATCGTTCACATTTTTAACATGTAAAAACATTTAAAATTTAAACCAGGTATCGCCTTTTCCCCGATGAATTTTAAATTTTAAGCTTCAAACTGAGGACCAAAACGAATTAATAATTTAAATTTGTTTATTTCTTCGGTCGAACAGTTCGGAACACCAATGTTTAATTTATTATATTATTAATTATCTTTTTGTTTGATGTAAAATGCAAAATTTAAGGTAAACAAATCGATAATTTCGCATATCTGTATAAATGTTGATTATAATGCACTTTGCACCAAAGGAACTATTGACTTAATGTTTTTGTAAAATTTGTGGTATAGTTTAGACGATGAAAATTGGCATAGTCTGCAATAAATTATCTATAAGAATGGACGTATTATCTTTCTTGTTTCCACTTAGGACTGTAGTCATTTGCTGCGTTTTAACACCCTTGACTGCCTGGTCAGAATTATATCTTTAAACAAGTGTCTTTGCTTTCGTAAATTTCTAAGAATGTTGAAATTTCTTTAAAGTCCGATTCTGGCAACATGCTCAAATTCTGCTAGTCTGCATCACTTTCTGTTACACTTCGATTGGTGTAATGTTATTCCTTTTTATTTATTAGTGTCCGCTGCAATTCCTACCTGACATCTCTTTTCCCTAGAACGTCTGACATGAGTAAAAGTGGACGTTCTATCAGCAACCGCTGTAGTCTAGTTAGTAAGTTGAAAGAAGAAAGCTAATGTGACAGTTTTAAATGCCAATTTTGAACGTTCTAATTATACAAAGGTGTTTCCTGTAAGTCTTTTTCTTTTGTTAAAAGTGAGTCAACCCCACAATATCCTTTGTTTTATATTTTTACCAAAACAGAAGTCAGATAATTCAGCGTGAAAACAAATTAAAAAGAAAAACTTTCATAATTTGCCCTTTCGTTTTAATCTTAAAATTTGACTGTTTTAAAGTGTTAACTACTAAAAAATATTTTTTCAAATTGCAGGTTTCCGTGTGGCATGATGGTTTCTGAGACAATTAGCTGTGGGAGACTGAAGTCAGTGTGAAGGATGTTTCAAAGATGGCGGTCTACATCTAAGGTGCAGTGGAACGCCAGCATCAAAATGCAAATCTTCAAAAATGGAAAAAGTGAGTTTACAATTTTACTTTTTGCGTTTTTCCTTTAGTTGAATGGTATGTATCATGGAAATCCTAACAAATGTACAGTAAGAAATTTTAATCATGATCATGATCTCAGCTTAGTTGTTACTTCTTTATATTAATGGGATTTTTTTTCCAACGTTTTCCAAATTACTTATCGATGTTTTTCAATTGGTTTTTTTTATTTTTTGTTGTATAAACAAGTACATAGTATGACTAATATCGTTTATCATCTGCAACTTCATACTTAAAGTTGTTTTCGTGGTAGACCTGCTAATAAACAATATCTACAACATTGTCTTTGATGGCATATTATTTCATTTTTGGACTTTGCATTTAAAAAAGAAAATGTGTGATGTGGTAGCACACCAGGTAGGAAGCAAGTTACCTGTAAATGTTCTGCAATTGTTTTTTTTTTTTGGTTGTATGAACAGGTGCATAGTATGAGTAGGTAATATTGTTTATCATTTGCAACTTCTTACGTAAAATTGTTTCTGTGATAAATCTACTAATAAACCATATCTAAAAATCACGTTTTTGATGGTATATTATTTCATTTTTGGACTTTGCATTAAAGAAAGTGTAATGTTGTGGAACACCTTGTATAGGAACCAATTTTCTTATATTATTCAACAAATACTAATTATAATGTCGGTAATTGTCCAGAATTGGAGCACCAGACCAAAATCGCTCCAAAAATTTTTTCATCGATTTCCGGTCATTTTACCTAATGGAATTGATATTAGATGGTGGGAGAGACAGTTTTTTATGACTTCATAAATAAAAATTTTTTTTGAATGATAATTTTTCAAAATTGTCCCAATTCTGGATAATTACCTGCATTGGTGACGACATTGTTTGGTAGATTAGGTAGATTTATGACTGATTGAAGTTTATTTAATACCCCTGCCCGCAGTCCCTGTCCGCCTGAAGCGGGCTGATATGTAAGAGTATTTTATTCATAGAAAGCATTGGTTTTATACTTTTCCTAGTACAATATCGGAATTTCATACAATTCTTAGACTTTGGCTCTAGACCAAAATCGCCTCAAAAATTTTTTCATCGATTTCTAGTCATTTCTGAGGGTTCAATGATTATATTTGAGGCGGGCGAGACACACATCTCCTCCCATACCTACAGTTTAGAAGTGTGATTTGAATTTTGAAAAATCATTCAAAAAAAATTTTTTTTTAATAATAAAGTCATAAAAAACTGCCTCCCCACCTTTTAATATCCAATTTTATTATGTTCGGAATCTATGAAAAACTTTTGGAGCGATTTTGGTCTGGAACCTTAATTCTAGATAATTACCGAAAATTTATTGAAATACAGTGTAAACTCTTTATAACGTCACTCGATTTAACGACAAACTCCTTAAAACGTTGAAATTGCTTGACTTAGTTGGCTTACATTGTTTTCTATACAATATTACACTCTATATAGCGTCACGCTCACTCTATTTAACGACAACAATGCGGCATTATAAATCATTGAGCAGTACTTTCTAAGTTGCCGAAATAGATAAGAACTGCAGCTGTGTACGTTGTTGAAGAAGACGATCCTGTCAAACAAGCACTTGATGAAGCGAAACTATTAAAAAAATACTTTTTATAGAATCAAATTGATCCAGCAGTATCTCAAGATATGAGTGAGATACGTAACAAAATACAATTAAAATATTGGAGCAGCAAAAAACATCAGACGAAGATAACAGGCTATACGCAATGTATGAATAATAATGTTCGTGTGCAAAATATGTACTATATTGGTAAATGCATATTATTATCTATAGAATAGTAAAATAATATCTTTCATTTCTCTCCATTTAACGACCACTCTTTATAACGCCGAAAAATGTTCAGTCCCTTAAGTGTCGTTATATAGAGTTTACAATGTACTTGTGAATAACTAAAGAAAAAGAAATGGTCCCTTTTTTCTCGGAAATTTACCAGATAGATATATCCTTGCCACCTTAGTGGTTCGTTCCGAAAAAACCTTGCTCGTTTTTAAAAACGTAACGCAAATTAAAAGTCATTAAAAAGCATTTTTGACAATTATTCCAATTCTGATGTTAATGTATCGCGATATTATACCGTTCACTGGTTCGTTTGAGCAGAGTATGCAGGCATGAGAAAAAGTTCCTTTCTTGACGCATCATCGATATCTCCAATGTAGAAAGAACGTTTTAAGTTTACTGTAACGAAACGCAGATCCGTGAACAACTTTCTATTAATAGAAAAGCAATCATGAGCGACCGCGACTGTTTTGAAAGCGTTTATACAAGTATTCTATAGAAACTACAACACCATTACTATAAAAATATTGTCACAATATTTTTAACCGTAGGTATACATAAATAACAATAAATAATAAAGAAACAGCTTTGGGTTCCACTTCACAAAACAGATGTTAAACTGACTATTATTAGTAGTCATTTTACATTAAGTAGGAATTTATTGCATTTTTAGTATACTTATACCTAATATTTAATATTACAAATGGCACCTTCTCAAACAATTGACAAATCTATAAAAAATCGAAGAAACTACAGAGTGTTTTTATTCTACCTACACTATTTTTATTATTAGCTATTGTTTTCACTATCTATGAATTTCAAATCGCGTTCAATAACAAAATCTTTTGTTTATTTATCTAATCGATCATCCCTCTTCAACTGTTTGTAAATGGATTCGGAAAATTCAGAACGGTTTTATAACCAAACAATTGGATATTTTAAACTTAAATCTAAGAGTATAGGCAACCTGCTGTTTAGAAGTCCTTCTAGAGACATACGCTGCTATTATTGCCTTAAATAGACGGTTGTTTTTGATAGGTTTTAGGCTATTTTATGTGGAATTCTTTATTCCTTGGAAACATCCAATCGGCTTTACGGATTTTAATCAATGAGGTGTCTACTGATTTGTGTAAATCTAGGTTTTGTTTTAATAAAACCAAAATGGCGGTCGTAAAATACAAAATGGCGGTAGGTGTTGCAAAATCAAGATCCTACATTATTTTACAGCTGTAATTTTCGTTTAATAATAGTAATCATCATCATCATAGGGTCTTAAGTCTTAAGACTGATTGAATACACACCTCCACTCTTTCCTATCCTGAGCTAATCTTCGCATTTTGCTAAAGCTAGAACATCCCACATCCCTAACAATTTGTGAACAGTAACCTAATATAGGTCCCAAAGTTGTGTAGATAGGATTTGTACATATTCCATATTGTTAAATAGGATAAACCTACTTAGAAACGTGTAGGGCTCATCAAAACAATATTTATAGACTGAAACTAGCAATATATGCACATTGCAGATCTTGTTTTTATCTTTTTAATTCGCTTTTTAGACAATCGGTTTTGTAATTTTTTTTTAATTTAAATATTTACTTAATACATAATGCAGACACTATTTAACTTCTGTTTATCTAAACCATATGAGAACCACCACTAAAACCCATGTTATTACACAGACAATGTAAATATTAGCCATCTTTTCTCTAAGCCAACTAAGACATTTCATTTCAGTGAGCACATATGCAGAAACATATATACGCACCTGCAAATGGAGGTCAATGACAACAACTGACTTTAAGCGTGTCAATTAATTTAATTTATATATTTTTTTCGTAAATGTCAAACGTCTCCTTCGAGTAGGTACAACAATTTTAGTGTCGCCTTATAAAAAAAGAAGGGTATCGTCGAAATTAATTTATAGAAATAACAAATTAATTTTGTTGGAATCTTATTTCTGCGCCTACGAAATATCACACAAAACGACATCGTGTCTGTACATTTAACGACCAACTTCAAAACCACTCCTTTTTAATTGCAAGGTAACCTGCACATTGTGTACGTGCCTACGACTGACTGGGAAATAATTCAAGAAAAAAAAAGACCTTTTGCGTTATTATTATTTTCCCATGCTATTGAAAAATATGTTGCGCCCGATATAGGGAACGGAATTCGAATGGTCATTGCAACTACAAACAAAAGAAGTACTCAATTCAATTTAAAATCAAAGCATGCGTTTTACTCATGTATGACTAATACCTATCCTATTACCTATATCCTGAAGGTTGCTAGTTCTAATATGATTCCTAGAGTTAGTGTTATATCGAAAGGATAATATTGACGTATAGTGATTTTGTCCCGTATAACCGGGTACCCGGTAAAACCACCACAATTAATGGTTCATGACTTCGTCTTTTTGGCGGGCTTACCATTAAATACCACCCTTACCAGCGTCCCAAACCATAGCAAGTTTAAACGCCAATTTTTAATTTTTGGTTGGCGGCGGATTGTCAACAAGGGGGTTGCAAACTAACCAAATTATACTGATATTTTATCGTTAATTAAAACCTGATACACACCAACAAGCGACAGAAAGACAGAAATAGTAACAGTTCGGTCATACTAACGTATTTTTGTAATTTACTATAGTAATCAATAAATAATACAAATTAAGGTAAACGACCTATTCCAATGCAATCTTAATTACATACCAATTTTCATTAGGTAAAGATTGTTAAAACCGTATGTTTGGATACCGGGTCCAAACCGGGTACCCAACCCATCTGTAGTTTGAATTCACTTACCTGTGAAAATAAATACCGAATACTAATATTTAAACCCGCCTTCTTTATTGCAATTGTTTAGTTCCGCTTCGAATACGTCAAAATTTAAAGTAGTCTGTTAGTTAATTTCAACTTTTAATTAGACGTTTTAATAGTCAGCTAATTCTAGAATGTTCTTGCATCCACTATCTCAGACGCACCGAATTCAGTTACAAAGTACAATATGCTAAAACTAAATTAATCGCTTTTACGAAATTTCTTGCATTTTTTGCGTTTTCTTTACAATCTGAAACCAAAATGTGTAATTTTCGACAATTTTTTCCACGACTAACAGAAAAATGGTCGTGGAAATCTATAGTAAAGCGTTATTGTATAGTATGATTTCCGTCGTCGATGTAGCAAATGGTTTTTAAAATGTATTTTAAATATAGAAGATGCAAAATGTAGAACAATTCTCTATTTCAAATACTAAAATATACATTTTTTAAAATAAAACGCATGTTGTTAATGTTCGGCAGTTTAGTTTTTTAGGTGGCAATATTCGCATAGAATATTACTACATTAATTATGTTATGTAACTTTGCACAACAAGTTGATGATATTCTGATTTTTTTTTCTTATTTTTTGTAATAATTTTGTATGCAGTCATAACTGCTGATATTCCGTAAAATACAAAAATTAATATAGTAACTGAGTCATTTTCATAAAAAAAGTCTTCCTCGACAATGGCATCCCTTTATAAAAACATGGTGATGAGAACCAAGATGGAAACTAGTGAAAATATAAAATAGGTTTGAAAACTACTTTGAATTCAGTTAATATTTAGTTTAATTAATGCAAATAAAAAGCGTAATAAAAATTGCTTATTAAGAGTAGAATTTGCCCTTTAACATTTTTTACAAAGGACAAAGAACATAAAAAGAAACAAAACTAAATAACTTAACGAAAGATCGCAGAAAGTCCAGATTTTCCACGAAAAATAAAAAGAAAATATGAACACCAAATTATGAATCTACAAAATGATGTGTATCAATTGTTTTTTAAACTTTTTTTAGAGTTTTTATTTCAGTTAACTATAGCTAAGTATAGTTTCTGCCCTCTTGTATTAATAATTTTCCACTTAAGTTAATCACGTTTGTTATCTTAAACTCCTTCAAAATTAGTTCTGTTAAACAATAGGTACCAATCCTTGGCTTTTGTCTATATATTGCAGTTTAATATAAAAACATATTTAAAATAATTAAATGATTAATTGGAAAATCAAAAACAAATAATTTTTTTTTTACATTTTCCTCGATTTTTTATGAAAAACCAATTGGTGTATATTCTCAAATTTATTTCTTTGTTTATACATACAGTAATATATTTTATTAAACATTTAAATTAGCTTGAAATTGGCCCTTTTGTTATTTAAAAGCATGTATTTTTGATTATAATAACCACTGGCAGCGACATACTTATTAATGAAAATTACGTATAAAACTTTTCATCAATTTGACTAAAACTTTTTCCTGTAAAATTATTCTAGAAGCATATAATAATACTACAATACAATTATATTTAAAAAAATATATTGCTATTTTGAACACCCTGTATGGTGCCCTTTCTGAAAAAGTCGTCAGTTTTTCCACCGCCTTCGTTTTCCTTACAAGGCATTTTTTATAAAAACTTCATCATAGTTTTCCACGTTTTTGCAGTTTTCCACAGCTGTTTTATTTTTCCTTTCCTGTTTTTCTTTTGAACACCCTGTACGGAACTGTTTTTAAAAGTTTCTTTAAAGTTTTCCACATATTTTTTATCTCTCTTACTAGCGATTTATTAATTGTTTTTTTGTTTATTTACACTTACCAATAAATCTAATAATTCCCAGTCATAAATCCCAATGCACACTGTCAGTTCACTGATCACTCAAAAACACCAACCAGATAATAATAATAATAATTATTACTATTTAAGCCACCCTCTCAAACCATCTATTCACCACAATGAATTTTCCTTTTTTCCCTTCCCCTGCTCGCAACACAATTTCCTTTCTTCGCGTATCCGTTCGTAGATCCGCGATTCCGATGGTACACAAAACGAATCGTCCGGCGCGCACGCAAAAGTCCACATTCGAAACAAACGAAAACCGTCGACGAAGCGCGCGACGTGATACCCTCGACTTCTTCGACACCTTCGCGAAGGCCTTTGGCCGAATGAGAAAGAGGAAGAAAGTGGCTATGCCGCGAATGGTCACGTGACCCCCGGTACCGCACAACGTCCAAGCGGGGGACGAAAGTCCGCGCGCAAAGAGAAGGGGACATATATGTCGCGAAAATGGTAAAAACGTACCTACACGGTAATAGTACCGAGTGATCTAAAGTCAAAACGAACCCTTTCGACAAAAGTTGAGTTTATAAATTAGCATGTTCAGACCGTAATGCTTTTTACGTAGGTCAGACGAGTAGATCATTCAAAATGCGTTTCAACGAGCACCTGAAGTCTCATCATCACATGTAAACTTCGTTTAATAGATCAGGAATATCTTGAAATTGTGCACATTATGATGGAAAAAGGATTTAAGCCAAATGTGTTATAAATAACCAATAGAAATTTATAAAATGGCTAAAAATCCTCTGAAGAAGTTCGTCTCTCGTGCTGGCGAAACGTTGGGATGCGACTCTAACCGACGATAGTCTTTAGACCTTAATCCAGGACAGCACCAGTTCGCCAACTAGACTCGAAAACTTTTTAATTGTTTTAATTATAAGAAACAGTAATCTAATTGTAACTGTTTTTGGTCACCTTCCCCAGTTCCCGGGAAAAATAGGATCGATCCTTAAAGGATGTGTCCGTCCATCATAGCTGTTGTTCTTAGAATCTAGTACAGTGTAAGGGTGAAAGGAGATGGGCTGAAAAAAGTTTCTCAACTGACAGTTATATAATACTGAAATAGTACTGAAAAAGTATCAAAAACATAGCAGGGAGAGCATTTTTAGACGACTTTCTATCATTCTTTGATGTTTCCATTTCATCCCCTTATTCTATATACAATCGGCTAAGCAAAGTCACTACAGAATTGTTTTTTTTTTTTAACCGACACCAATATTTCACCTTTAGATAGAATTTTCTTTAGGTCGTTTATGAAAGCCGTTCACATAAAAACTAAACTACATGTTAAAAAACAATTTAAAAAAGCAATTAATTTTCCTACAACATTTGTTCGAAAAGTGGTTGCTTCACCATAACAAAAACATTATCTATCTCCAACGTTAATTAACGTTTTTAGGTCTGTTTATCTAGTTATATTTAAGTATGTATAATTATAATTTATATTTCGCACTGATTTGATTAATTCTTCCTTTTAAAAATATTTCTTTTGTATTGTTTCAGACGCTGGGTGGTTTATAAAGAAAAACGCTGTGTACAAACTGCAATCCAATCTGTGGAATGTATCATTTACGACTGCGCGGAACTGAATACTTGAAGAGGAAAACAGAGCGACACCGAAATCCAACTTTTTGAAAAATATTGGACAAAATATAAGTAGTAAGTATTCTATTACAAACCTAAAATTATATTTAATCGTAATAATTTAGTAAAGTATAATCTAAACTNATGAGGGGAGTGTGTGTGTGAGCATGCGAATGCGTATGCGTATGAATGTAACCCCTTATCCATCCTCACCCGCTCTCTTCCCTCGAGAGCGGGTGAGAATGAATGAGGGGTGTGTGAGTGGGAGAGTGCGTATGAATGTGACCCCTTATCCATCCTCACCCGCTCTCTTCCTTCGAGAGCGGGTGAGAATGGATGAGGGGTGTGTGAGTGGGGGTGTGAACCCCGGGGTGGGGGACCCACGGGGGGAGACGGGGGGCCCCGGGGACACAAGGGGGCCCTGGGGGAACAAGGGGAGGGGAGATAATAAAAGAAGAAAGAGAGATCAATGTGTTTTATTTTTCATATTAAAAAAGACAAAAACAAATTTTTCACGTCTACCAGGTTTAGCGCGATCGTTTTTTGTTATTCGAAGAGCGTCCGGGACAAGGCCCGAACGTTGGAGCTCCAGATTCGAACTTATAAGTCCCAGGTACACGAAATTCGGAAGTTTCAGGATTCTGAGTATTAGAGTCTTCGAAATCCGAACCTCAAGGTCTCCAGAGCAACGAATCCCGAAGGATTCGCTGCTTTGGAGCCCCGAGATTAGAATTTCGAAGTTTCCAATACTCAGAATCCGGAAAATTCCGATATTCCGGGTATCGGAGACTTCGAAGTCCGAATCTGGACGCTCCAGACACTCCCGAGCCGCGACCGACACTCCCGATTGAAGTACACTCCCCTGGGATGAAGTGCGACGTCCAGATGTAGCAGCTGATGATGTCCTGTCCATCTCCCGATGTCGTGCTGTAATAAAAATATTTTGGCATCGTTAATTTGTTATTATGTAATATATTTAAATACAATTATTATTCTCATTTTTTCTAAATATGTACTTCTTGCATTATTTCAGGTTTTGAGAATTCAGTGATAACTGAACAAATAGGAGACTTCGGTATTGATTTATCAAATGAAAATACGTACGACAATCCGGATGGGTGCATAATCCCTTTGACCTAAACTCAATGGCAAAGTGGGAAGATGATGACGTAAATGACTGGTGATTAAGGAGAGAAAAATTAGATGGACGAAACGACGAAAGAAGATAACTCAATGATTTATCTGTTAAATAAAAATGTGTAAAATTCAAGGAAAAAATTGAGCCAGGGTAGACGTACTGGAAAGAACCAATGACTTGTTGCAGTATGAGGTAGACCACCAGACTAGGCCATCCTGTCGTGACTTATGGTGAGTCTTATATGCCTTCAGGGGAATTTTATTTTGGAAAGTCTATAAAGCACAGATTATGCGTTCGTGTTTTAATTTTTATTTCATTTTAAATTTCGCCGAATTTTTGAAGAAATTTAATAGCGTAATGTAAAACTTTACAATCCAATAAGTAATAAGTCAGTTACAATATTTTGTAGTGAAGTCTTTCTTTTTATTTGCTGAATAGATGAAAATCAAATTGTTTCGTGTTTTTCTCTTTGTTGTTAGATAATCATCTCTACAAACATACTTTGCTCTGAGGCTAAGATTTTGATTTTCGATCGTATAAATCTCTATTTTATTAATTAATATTCAAACATCAAATTTATTTTTATATTGGAATTATCTATTTATTTTAGGTACCTACCATTTATTGACGGAAATTCGAGTACTTCAGCGATGGTACAATTTGACTGCCTTTTTTCAAGATGGGACACTTTTGAACGATGCGTTTCTTGTGTGGACAACCCTTCTACATCGTTTACTTCTTGTTATTTATTTATGTATACGAATGTGGATTTATTGGCCAAAATTTTAATACCTATGTGTTATAACTGCACAGATAGCTTTCGATTCTTTTTTTTTTGTATAATCAATTAATTTCTGAAATACTACAAATGGCGCGGTAAACGCCATCTGTAGTACAATGCAACATTTGACGGATTCAATATGCTCAACAAGGTCTATTTAAATAGATGGATATTTACTTGCTAAACTGAGTCCAGGAGCTCGCCACTACGTGATGGGCTAGTTTATTGAATTAATTTCCTTTGGGGTAGTTACTTATTTTCATATTAAAGTAATTGTAATTTTCATTTAAAATTTGCTTGTTTGTTGTATAAGGTTTTCGTCATTTTTGTGTTTTTTCAAGTGACCAAAAGTATTAGTAATTAGATATCTGTCAATTTTTTTAAATGAATTTATTAATTGAATAATTCAAAATTTTTGATTGAAAATTNAAACCCCTTCTACAACTCAGAAAAGGACAGCAAAAGTACCTAAAATCAAAAGACAACAAAATTAAAAAATCTATAAACAAACTATTCTTACTAATTTAATTGAACAATTATCTTTTTTGTAGTATCAGTACTTTAAATTTGCCGAAACGACCCAAAAACATTAATTTAATTTCTTATTTTATGAAAACAACTAAACACAATTTTGAATTCGTGTAAAGCAAAACGAAATTTTTAATTATCGAAATATGAACATTAAAATTACTCTAAATGAAAGAAACCACGTAAAATCAAAAAACGTAAATAAATATTAAAGCTCACCCTTAATGTGATCATGGAATTGAAGTGGTCCATTGTTTCTCTTCAATCGGCATGATAATTCCGAAGAAACCCCTTCTACAACTCAGAAAAGGACAGCAAAAGTACCTAAAATCAAAAGACAACAAAATTAAAAAATCTATAAACAAACTATTCTTACTAATTTAATTGAACAATTATCTTTTTTGTAGTATCAGTACTTTAAATTTGCCAAAACGCCCCAAAAAGATTAATTTAATTTCTTATTTTGTAAAAACAACTAAACACAATTTTGAATTCGTGTAAAGCAAAACGAAATTTTTAATTATCGAAATATGAACATTAACGAGTGATGCACAACGAGTTATAAAAATTAAAAAGTGAAAACAAACCACATAAAATTCAAAAATGTTAACTTCTTGTTCTTATTCTTGTATCAGTATTTTAAATTTGCCAAAATGCCCCAAAAGGATTAATTTTACTTTTTATATTGTAAAAACAATTAAACACCATTTTGAATTCGTGTAAAGCAAAAAGAAATTTTCATTTGTCGNGTGACTATTTATCAAGTATTATATTCATATTATCTTTAAGGAATACTTTTAACATATATTAGCTTTTGTACAGATGGCACAGGATCATTTATTTATATTTTGTCAAGCTGTAACAGTTTTTAACGTAATTGTCATATGTTTATGTATTTATTCATGATCAGATAGTATTTATTTAGATTTTAGATAACATTGTAATAATAAATAAGGGTAACGTGGGATTTATTTTGGGGAGAGACTGAGGATGTGAATGTAGTAAGAAAGACTGCGAGAGATTCACCATAGTAATTTGTAAGGATGTATAAAAGAGCAAGAGGGTGTAAAAGTAAATGCGTGTAAACATGGAAGTAATTATGAATGAAAGCACGAGGGTTAAAATGAGGTGTGAATGTATGTATGACAAGTCTTGTGCAAATGAGAATGTACGAGGGTGAAAAAGGATGCATGTGGGCTTGAGTAAAGAATGTGAATGAAAGAGGTTGTGGGTGTGACATGGTAGGAGTGAAAGTAGGTGAATATGAGAAAAATAAGGATATGAATGAAGTAAGGGAAGAATCAATGAGCAAATGTCACACGCCCCATCATTCAGAAGGGGAGTGATGGTATAAATGAAAGGTGTGTGAGAAAAGGTATCACAGTCCCCCCTTGTTCATGTCCTCACCCTCTCTGTCTCGAGAGAGGGTCAGGGCATAAATGAAGAGTATGTGTATGTCTGTGTGCACGTGAAAGAGCGTATGAATGTCACATAACCCCTATTCTTTCTTACCCTCCCTGTATGTATGTATGTATGTTGTATTTCACCTTATTAATGTCCTTACCCTCTCTTTGTATCGAGAGAGGGTCAGGGCATAAATAAGGGGTGTGTGTATGTCTGTGTGCGCGTGAGAAAGTGTATGAATGTTACATTACCTTCTTCCTCACCCTCCCTGTATGAATGTCTTCCCCTTATTTATGCCCTCACCCTCTCCTTGCTTCGAGAGGTTGGGCATAAATGAGGGGAGTGTGTGTGTGAGCATGCGAATGCGTATGCGTATGAATGTAACCCCTTATCCATCCTCACCCGCTCTCTTCCCTCGAGAGCGGGTGAGAATGAATGAGGGGTGTGTGAGTGGGAGAGTGCGTATGAATGTGACCCCTTATCCATCCTCACCCGCTCTCTTCCTTCGAGAGCGGGTGAGAATGGATGAGGGGTGTGTGAGTGGGGGTGTGAACCCCGGGGTGGGGGACCCACGGGGGGAGACGGGGGGCCCCGGGGACACAAGGGGGCCCTGGGGGAACAAGGGGAGGGGAGATAATAAAAGAAGAAAGAGAGATCAATGTGTTTTATTTTTCATATTAAAAAAGACAAAAACAAATTTTTCACGTCTACCAGGTTTAGCGCGATCGTTTTTTGTAATTCGAAGAGCGTCCGGGACAAGGCCCGAACGTTGGAGCTCCAGATTCGAACTTATAAGTCCCAGGTACACGAAATTCGGAAGTTTCAGGATTCTGAGTATTAGAGTCTTCGAAATCCGAACCTCAAGGTCTCCAGAGCAACGAATCCCGAAGGATTCGCTGCTTTGGAGCCCCGAGATTAGAATTTCGAAGTTTCCAATACTCAGAATCCGGAAAATTCCGATATTCCGGGTATCGGAGACTTCGAAGTCCGAATCTGGACGCTCCAGACACTCCCGAGCCGCGACCGACACTCCCGATTGAAGTACACTCCCCTGGGATGAAGTGCGACGTCCAGATGTAGCAGCTGATGATGTCCTGTCCATCTCCCGATGTCGTGCTGTAATAAAAATAGTGTTAAAAATATTCAAAGTTAACTATTATATAAAGAAGGGTTTAGTATAAAGTTGAAAAAAATAAAAGGAAGCGATTAATATACTTAATTGTTCTTAAAAAATACAGAAAGAGTTAGGAGAAAAATAAATAAAAACAAACTAACCCTCGTAGTCCATGGATTCGTCCACTGGGTAGTTCATGAAGTCCAGGCGTCCAGGTGCAGCAGCTACTGATGTCC